AATTAAGAGCAAAAACCTGGGGCTTGTTGGATTGGCCACTAAAGGCCACTGAAAAAGAAACCTCACTGGAATTTGTCAAGTTACTTTATCTTCCTTTTATAACCTACAAGAGAGGTTTTACATGGAATTATTTTAATTTTTAGGTTACAGTACCTTATTGTTCCTTTTGACTTCAAGCAAACAAATAACAACAGTTAGCTAAAGCAAAGGCAAGAAAGAAAGCAAATAGCAAGTCCAGAGCAGGAGGAAGTGTGGCGTGCAAAGGAGCCATCGTGGGGGCAAGGGAGAAAGGCAGATTGTTAAGTTGGAAAACACAGACCTTGAATTCTTTATGCCTCCAACTTCTTTTACGTATTCCTTTATGTATTAGCTATTCTAGACATAACTCAATATTTAGCTGTAAAACTCTGGGGAAATAATTTAACTCCTTTAATTTTTTTACTCATCCTAAAAACTACCACACATACATATACTAAAAGAAAAAAGTTGTCTTAAGGATAATGTGAGATTAAAGCATGCATTTCACAGAACTACACATTGCGACTCCATACGTTAACATGTTAGAAAGTAAAAAGTCAACGTGAAGAGGAAAGGGGCATTCTGAAGCAGTCACCCACTGTCCACAAGCAGTAACTGAACTGAAGTGATGCCTACCTTAGAGTCTGATTCAATTGGTTCTTTGCACTGCTCACAATAGTTAGAAAAGATCTGATCATAGCAGGAGACGCAGTATAGATGATCATCCTTGAGCACATACTTCTTCCCAAGAAGGGATACCGTGCAGTATTGACAATCAAATTGAGTACTTGTCATCTCTGTTTGATCCTGTGGATAAGAAAATGATTCTCGTGTACAAAAACAAAGCTTCATTACAAATAGCAAATCCATTGTAAAATGTGAGTCAAACACTTGAATTTATTTATTACTTGGCAAAATATCACAAATTTAGGAAGTTGCTCATAGTCATGGTGATTTAGGAAAGGCTACTCTTCCATCTTGGCATTTCTTCTGTATTCTTTTCCTCTCAAAAGTAAAAGCAGCCAAATGGTGAAACAAAAATATCTTATTCACCACGTGTCAAGATGGATATCAATGAGAATGCGATACATGCAGCATGTGCCATACCAAACATAATAATATGATCTGAGACAGGATGTTTAAAACTGGCATTACGTAATTATCTCAAGAGAGTTCTGGAAGTGGAGTCTGATAAAAATAACAATTCTTTTTTATTCAAACTTGAACAATTAGTACATTGCTATTTTTACTCCATTTTTTAAATTCTTAAACTCTGTTTCGGATTCCTAATAAGGGTCCTGCATATTGATGCGAAGACTTTCCTATACATACGCTTCTCTATCGGGACACCCTCAGCTGCTATTCTAATGACAATTCCAAACACTGCTTCCTGCTCCCTCTAGGCCACCTGGAACTCTGCATTTAAATGTCAGGGCCAAGCTGAAAACACAGAACTCTGCAGGTATGATTCAGTCCACATGCTAGGTTTTCATGACTTTGGATGAGCAGTGTCCCAGGTATGGGGAGTCAGAGAAAACCACAGGATTCTTTAAGTTTCGTGGCGAAACCAGCATGTATATGGCATGAATCAGCACAAGAGCCTCCAGCACAATGAAAACTGACAAAAATAAAAAGATGTTGGATTTTTTTTTCAACCTAGAAAAACTGTGAGCATGACAATTTCATCATAGCCAAAAACAATAGCACTAATTTTCGTTGGGAAAAATTGAATTTGCCATCTCTGGATTTGTTGGAATGTATTCTTATTCTCCAATCTAGATTTCTTTTACTTAAAAAAATAGTACATCAAGTAATTAATATTGTGCTTTAAAATATTTTAATGCTAATTTCTATCTACACCATGTTAAATGCTGTTCTCAAATATGTTTTATTTTCTTATTTTAGTAATGAAGTCTGCAGCAGAGTTTCTTGGCAGATCCACTCTATCGTTAATTCTGTGTGTGTTGGCTTTGCTCATCACTCTTCACAAATAAGCAGGGAAAGAATGACCATCTGGAACACAGGGGTCTTTCCCAGGAAAGATACAAACCCAGACTAGAAAGTTCCCAATGGGATATGGCCAAAATTATCTGCAAAGAACATTGAATTCCCTATTTGATTAATTTCACAGAAATGTCCATTCCTGGTGAATTCAAACATAAACAGCAGGAAGATAGATCTGATTCCCTTGAAATGATAAAAATATTTTAAATTACATTTACAGTGACCAGGTGTTTAATCTCCACAGTAAATAGGATACTTCTAAGTTCTTTCACTTAGTATGGAAATGTCATCTTCATTGTGAATATGTACTTAGTTTAAAATGTGTACAGTGCCACCATAAAGAGTGGGTTCCCTCCTGGATTGGGAATGCTCAGGTGACTTCTATTTTATGAGACTTTAGTATGTTAGAAAAATGAAGACAAAGGATTTCAAAAATGTGCTACTCCAATATTTTATTTAAAACAGTAATTCATGCACCACATTGTAATTTCTGTATTTCATTTGTTGGCCGGGTCAGAAATCTAAATATAATGACAGGAGTACATGATCCTCCCTCCCTGACATGGAAACATCTTAAACCTCCCTGACATGGAAACATCTTAAACCAGCTGGAGCATATTTCCTTACTTTTTAAAAAGATAAGGGCTACTCTTATTTCTCTCTTTTCTGTAAAAACATCATCAGAGAGTTGAGTAGGATAAAAACAGAATTGGTCCAATATCTTAAAATCTTATGATTTTTGCATCTATGAGACTATACTGAATATGAACTCAGTGGTAGCTGACCTCCCCACCTTTACCAAGTCTCAAACTTACCCAGAGAATTGCGACTATAATCTGAAGTAATGAACAAACTGAACGTGTACTTTCTTCTTGGCAAAAACACATTACAAAATTCAGTCCTCATTTCAGGATGTTTATCACTTAACCATGAATGTAGAAATATGCTCAAATATTTTATTTAAAAATGTTATAGAAATAAGTACATTTATTAGTATCATACACAATTCTTAGGGAGCCAATAGAGAGACAAATGGGGCAGAACTTTCCTAGGAAGTTTTAAGGGAGTTAAGCTGCTGGAAATCTGCAAATCAAGGGAGGAAGAGAATGAGAGAAGAGAGGGAGGGAAGGAGGACTGAAGAAAGAAAGAAAGAAAGAAAGAAAGAAAGAAAGAAAGAAAGAAAGAAAGAAAGAAAGAAAGAAAGAAAGAAAGAAAGAAGGGAGGAAGGGAGGGA